AGGGACCTACAGCCAAGATTGCTCTACCCAGCAAAGCTATCATTTAGAATCAAAAGGCAGATAGTTTCCCAGAAAAGAAAAAACTAAAGGAGCCCTAGCTGATGTGGCTCAATGGATTGAGCACTGGCCTGTGAACCAAAGGGTTGCCTGTTCAGGTCCCAGTCTTGGCACACGCCTCCATTACGACCAGATCCCCAGTGGGCGGGGGTGGGGGGGCAGCCACATAGTGATGTTTCTCTCCCTCTCTTTCTCCTTCCCTTCCCCTCTCTAAAAATATATAAATAAAATCTTTTTTTTAAAAAAAGAAACTAAAAGAGTTTATCATCACCAACCCATTATTATATGAAATGTTAAGGGGGCTTATTTAAGAAAAGAAGATCAAAACTATGAACAATAAGATGGCAACAAATACATATCTATCAACAATTGAATCTGAAAAACAACCTAAGCAAACAAGAACAGAGACAGAATCATGGATACGGAAAGCATTTTGATGGTTGCCAGATGGGAGGAGGGTATGGGGGAATGGGTGAAGAGGTCAGGAGATTAAGAAGTATAAATAAGTACTTACAGAATGGCCCTGAGGATGTAAATTACAGTAAAGGAAATGGAGTAGCCAAAGAATCTACACATGACTCATGGACACGATGATGTCGGGATTGCCAGAGGGAATGGGGAAGGGTGGGTGGAGGGGACCATGGGGGGAAAAATCAGGACAACTGTAATAACATAATCAATAAAATATAATTTAAAAAGGAAGAAAGCTTTGAGGGGTGAGTAAAAGATTAAAATATTTTAGTTGTAGCTTCAATTCAGACAAGCCACTTCACTTTCCAGAGCCTCACATTTCTTATATCCCAACTGGGGACAGGATGCCCAGGGCTGGGTTGAGAATAAGAGGAAGCTATGAATGTGAAAGCCCTTTGGAGATCAAATATCCTGTGGTATGCATGAAAGATAGTGACAGTCCCCTCTGTTCCCTGCCAGGGCCTGCTATACACCTCAGGAATTGTAGAAGAAGCTCTCACTAGCATTGAATTCACACCAGTCTGCTCTTGCCCTTCCTGAATCTGGGAGAAATTTCTGTACAGAGCCATTTCCTCTCCAGCCTATGGGCTCCGACTGTTGGGAAATCACCATTGTGCTTCTGGCTTTCAGTCCAGGCCCTGGCTTCTGTAAAATACAATGAAAGAGAAGATAACATCTCAGGACAGAAAGGGACAGGTCTGGGGAGAGTCTTCCTGGAAGTCACATCAGAGCTGGAGACAAGGTTGGGATATTATGTCAGAAAAACACAGAAACTGGGAGATGGGGAGGGGCCTGCCTGGGGTTTCCAGCAAGTCAGCAATAAGGCCAAAGAAGACCCCAAACCTTAGCTTCCATACTGTCCACTCTGTCTAAATGCCACAAAGTCCTTCCCCATCTGAGTCCCCCTAGTCTTTCTCTCTCCTTTCCCAGACACCTGCCCACATGATTTTTACTGTTCTCCAAACACATCTGCTTTCAACTGCATGCCCTTGTATGTTGTATACTTCTGTGCATCGCCTTCTCTCACTTATCTACCCAGTGAACTTTTATTCATTTCTCAAAGTCCATTCAAATGTCTCCTTTCTTGGAACAAAAGTATAATCCCAAACATAAACACAGTTTATCCAGAACTCATTCATCTCTCTCTCCTCCGTGCTTTCATAACACTCTCTACATACATTGATTTGAACATTTAATACGGTCTTCTATAATTGTCTCTGTCCTCACTACACTGTATTTTTCTATAGGACAGGGATTATTTCTGCTTAACCCCTCTGTCCAAGGGCCTATCATGGTGTCCAGCACTTGGTTGGCACTTAGTAAATATTGAACAAACACTGAAATAAAGGAAATGAGGCAAATTACTTAACCTCTTAGAGTCTTAGTTTTATTATCCTTGAAATGAAAGAAAGTCAAACATTTGGCAAGGATAAATAATGAATGTAAAACAAATGCCACCATGTATTGACTCAGTTGCCAGAGCCCAAATGGGCAACTATTCAAAATTTCCACTTATTTCTTTCCCTTTTTCCTTCCTCCAGGTAACCAGTCACCATGACTTGCTGGCTGTCTTAAGTTAGTAAGAAACTCTAGGTTACTAAGGAATTTCCATCAGGCCAGAGCTGTCAGGAAGGAAGGGAAGCAAAGAGTGCTGGAGGGAGGGATCCTGTAAGGAAAAGAAGCAGGAGGAGAAAATAATGGGGACATAAATCACAGGGGAGCAGGTAAAGGGTCCAGGAAAAGGGAGAGATCAGGATGGGTCCAAGGGACATAGAAACCACCCAGTCTGTGCCCTCAAGGAGCTCATGGTCTGCTGGGGAAACATAGAAACACAATTTTGTGCAGAAACAAGCTGTAGTAGATCACCATTTCCTTCCTGATACCCCTTCTTTACTTGTCTTCCAGGGTACCATCCAACGTGCCAGGCTTTCCTATCTTTCTGGCTTTCCTTCTCGGTCTCATTTGCTGCTTCTCCTAGTTTTTTCAAATTCTGAATTTTGAAGGAAACTATTTTCCATCTATACTCACTCCTTTGGTGAATTCATCCAGACCCATGGCTTTAAATACCATCTATGTGCTGATGACTCCCAAACTGGTATCTCCAGCCTAGACATCTCTCCAGCCTGGTTCTCTCTCCTGACTCTCAGGCTTATATTCCCCTTTGCCCCCTCAACAACTCTAATCTAATGAATCTCATACCCAACACACTCAAAGATGATTTCCAGATAGTTTTCTCCAAAATCAGCCCTTCTCTTATCTTTCCCATCTCAAGAAGTGGCAGTGCCAGTCTTCTAGTTGTTCAGGCCAAAAATCTTGGCTCCTTTCTTCCTCTGGTACTCTATATCCAGTCTGTCAGCAAACATTGTTAATGTCTACCTTCTAAATATAGTTGACTCTTGCACAACATGGGTTTGAACTGCACAGGTCCACTTAAAGGGGATTTTTAAAAGTAAATACCAGTATTGTGTTTTATTCACGGTTGGGAGTCCGCAGGTATAGAAGGCCAACTATAGGCATTGATTCATATAGGGAAATTGAGCATTTGTAGGGATTTGGGGGGAGGGAGGCGGTCCTGGGGCAAATCCCTTGCAGATACTGAGGGACAATTTAAGTTTTGAAGGAGTCAAAAGTTATATGCAGATTTTCAACTCTGCGTGGGTTGGTTCTGAGCTCTGCATTATTCTCAGTCAACTGTGTATTCAAAATTCAATCATTTCTCATCTCCCACCTCTGGATTATTATCCCAATTATGCCAGTTGGTCTCCCTGCTTATTCTACTGCCCCTCCTAAATCTAATCTTCATAGACTAGATGGAATAACTCTGCTAAAATAGAAATCAGATTCTGTAGATCCTCTCCTCAAAACCCTTCTCAGGATCCTGAACATGGGGTAAAAGTTGAAGTCCTTATTATGGCCTGAAAGGCTGTGCTCTCTGGCTCCTGCTACCTCTCAGTATTCTCTTACCCTTCCCAAGGTACACTGTGTTCCAGCTATTTCTAGGCCCTTTGCACTTGCTGTCCCTGAAATGCTCTTCCCTAAAAATCAGAACAGTGTGCTTTCACTCCCTCTCTCTCTCTCTTTCATTTTCTTCTTCCTTGGCTTCCCTATCTAAAATAAAACCTCTCCTCCTGCCAGTGTGTTTTTTCCTCCCACTTTTCTGATTTATTTTGACTTTGTAGTATTAACTGAAATCTTAAACTACGGTATATATTTTATTCATCTTTACTATTTATCTCTCTCACTAGAATGGAAACTGCATGAGGAGAGAGGGTTTTTTTTTTTTTGTCCATTTTGTTCACTATTGTATATCCACTACTTAAGACTATTTACAGGCATATAAGGAGGCACTCAATAGGTATTTGATGAATGAATGAATGAATGAATGAATGAATGAATGAATGAATGAAAAGGGTGGACATTTCCATGAGGCAAATTTTACTCATTAATGAAAAACTAACAAGCAGAGCTGCTTGAAAATGCAGTACAACCTCTTAAAGATGTTATCTCACAAACTTGACATCAGTCCAGAATAGCAGGAAGGTGGGGCAGAGATTATGATGCCATTTGAAGAATCATTCCAGGGAAAAGACTTGTTAAAGGTCTCCATCTTGTTGGGGCAGGAGTGTATTTGTGTTTTGCTGGCCCTGGAAGAGGCTGATGAGAGTTGGAGTTTAGTGGAAGTGGGTTCAAAGATCTCTTGCCAGAAGGCATGAGGTTCTCTAAAAGGAGCGTGAGTCAGAGGTTACAAGTACAGAGACATCAGCAAAAGAATGGGAAAAATGATGAGGCTGACCACTAAGCGAATTTGGCCCTGGTCTGAAAAGGGCAGCTGAATTCCTCAGCAGCAGAGGAATTCAGCAAGAATTCAGCAATGCCTGAAGCTAACTAGTTGGTTAAGCCCTTACATAATCTCGATTACAGAGACAGGTGAGACCGCTCCTGGTTGCAGTTTGGCTTCCCCACTACTGTGGGGTGTTTGAGGCAAGAACCAATGTTCCTAGATTTATCCTAAGCTTCTTGTAGAGTCCGAATTACAGCTGGGACTGAAATATTTTCCGCTTAAGGCATACATAAATGAATGTATGCACCCAAATGGGAAACTGAGCGTTAAAAGCAGACTAATTTTCATAGTACGCAGCAGAACGATCAGGATCACTATTAACTCAGGTGACTCCCAGATGTTTTTCAGAAGGGGTTGACAAGGTCACCTACACTTTGTAGGCAGGGGGCGGGGTTAAATGGAGTGGAGGCAGGCCGGGAGTGGGGAGTGGGGAGTGAAGGGGCGGTTCGGGGGTGAAAGGCTGGCAGACTGGAGAGGCTGATTGGCTGAGATTCAAGGCGGGGCCGAAAGTAGGCTCGACAAATTTCTATCTCCAACAACGTGACTAAGGTGCATAACATCACATCCGGTCTAGTAGGCGGGAGCGGGAAACAAAAGGAGACCAATGACGCATGCGTTTGGTATACGCCAGGTTCTGGTGGGTCCTTCCGCTCAGGCGGAGAGAAGTGCTTCCGGGTCGCTGCCGGCAGCCTCCTCCCGGCGCGGTAAGTACAGAAGCAAAACTGCTTCTGCTGTCTCCTTGTCCCTTCCTCCTTCCCCCAGAGAAACTCCATTCCCCTGACCCGCCTCCTCGGGAGCTCTGTGTTCCGACTCCTTTTTTATATTAAAGAGCGCCGGCTCATTGGCCGCTTCCGCGAGACTAAGCTCCACCCCACCACGCAAGATCCGTCAGTCATTGGTGTCACTTCTTGTCACCCAGCATTTCTTCCAGTTAATTGGCCCTATTCAAGCCCCGCTCCTTTCTCTGTTAGCAACCCTATAAGGTGCCTCTCCGAATCCCGCCTTTGCCTTCTTTCTGTTGGTCAATCTCATGGTCATTATCATAATAAGCAAAGAATGGGCGGTGGCTTTGCGGTGAGGGGTTGGGTTTTCGGAGCCTTGGTTTCTGTCCCACTCAGTGCTGGGACATCAGGGATGGTGCTGTTTTACTTGTTACATAGGCTGGGAAGCTGAGGTCCATGGAAGGGCAGGCTGTCCTCGGATCAGTCATATAAATTCGGGCAGAGCAGAACTAGACCTAGATCGTTTTCTCCTGCTCATCGCTAGTACCAGGATACCATCGCTAGTATCTCTTCCAGCCAGAGTTCTATGCCGCAACTCACTGTGTGACCCAGAGCGCAGGCGTTGTTAGTCTCTGGGCCTCAGTTTTCCTGGAGCGGAAATGTTTTAATTCATATTACCTGGGACCTTCATGGTCAACTCCCTCAACTGCTTAATCCGAGCTGAATCTGAATTTACTTGTTCTCTCACATGTTAGTTCACCCATTCAACCTTCCAACTGCTTATACATTTAAATGTCTTTAGAATGTCTTACTGAACCATACTTGCATGCCTGCCCCACCCCGCAACTTTGGCTGTGGTTTATGAGAGAGGTGGGCAGTTAGTGTCCTAAATTTCTGACACTGGGTGAATAATGTATGGACCATCACAGAGACACAAAAAGTAGGTCTTACAGTTTCAGTAGGGCCCTGCTACTTTTAATTTTGTAATGCTAGTGTGCATTTTGGATTCCTGTCTCTATATTTGGCTTCTATTCTCTTTCCTCCTTGAACAGCTTACAGTTTTACTTTACCATAAATAAATTACCTTACTTAATGATCAGAATAACTGTGAGGATGGTATAATTTTTATTATCCCCACTTTACAGATGAGGAAACTGAGGTTCAGAGAGGTTAAGTGACTTGGCCAAGGTCAAACAGCTAGTAAGTAGTGGAGCCAGGACTGAAACCTAGGTTTGTCTGATCCCTACAGGGAAGAACTGCTTCCCTGCTTCCTTCCACTCCACCCCACCCCAGATTAAACTGTAACCAAAACCAAAACCAAAACCAAGTACATCTGAGAGCTGGATTCATCTGACCTTTTCTCTCAGTCTAGGAGCCATGTCCACCTTGTTTCCCTCACTCTTTCCCCGTGTGACTGAGACTCTGTGGTTTAATCTGGATCGACCTTGTGTGGAAGAGACAGAGCTACAGCAGCAAGAACAGCAGCATCAGGCCTGGGTGAGTGAGGACCCAGTACAGTGGTGGAGCTCAGTCAGGGATCCCCCTTTCATTGGCCATGACCCAGTCTTGAGACCTGCCCTGGAGGAGCTTTTTGCTTTGAACTGAGAATAATCAGGCTGGGGTTGGGTGGGATTTGAGGGAAGAAGGGAGCTAGGTTCCCTCATCTTTGTGTTACCTTAATTTGCTGGGGGACCATAGTACCACTGGGCCAGATTGGAGTTCAGGCTCTTTTCTGTTGGGAACCACCTGGCCTGATTTCAGAAGCTGTAAACCGCCCCCCCCCCCCATGGCTAAGGCTGAGTGAGAGACCTTGGGACCCTAAGCCACTAAGGAGACAAAGCTTATCCCCCTGGCTGGAGCACCACCTCTCTCCACTTTACTTCATCCTACCTGGTCCCCAATGTATGACCGGTTAGCCAGTGATGGGTAAGATTCTTCAAGGAAGGGACAACCTAAGACAGGCATGGTCATGAGGGGGCCCTCAGGGAAGGACTTGGGGGGCTATGGAGAAAGGGGGTGATGGACCCTTGCCCCTCAGCTTTCCCATAGCCTGAGTCCTCATTCTGTCTTCAAGAAGTCTTCTAATCTCTTGGCTGCCTTACTTCCCTTGCCTGACTTAAGCCTGAAACTATGTCACAGAGTGGTTTCCTGGGACACTCCGGCCTAAGAAAGAATGCATAAAATCTTGTGAAACCTGTTTGCTAATACCCTCAATTTAAATGATAAGGGTCTAAGCATGAAATGAGTTTGTTTCCCCCAAGTTTTATGGTCCTTTAACTATTTGACCTTGACTCAAAATAGGCCCTCAGAGTTCGTTGAATGTTATCTATGTGATCATTATTGCCTGACAATGGTTGATGAGCTTTCCATATACGCACTGTATTCCTGTGCAAATTAAGCAATAAAATCCTGTCAGGGCAAAAGTCAGGGCACTTTCCCCTTGAGAGAGGGCCGTGCCATCCCTTTTCTTCCACAGGACTTGGTAGTCCGTGTGAATTTGTCTCATCTCAGTCATAACGCCTCAGACACTGTGGGCCAGAGTCCACGTCACTTTTCCCTAAAGCATAGGAAATAATATTTTTGACTATTTATTGAAGATTTAGCAGATGCCGTGTTCTAGGCTGATAGTTTCTCACTTTACTCTCACCGTAATCTTATGAGGAAACCAAGGCCTAGAGAGTATATGTAATTGCATCAAGTTCATAAGTAAGTGGCAGATGCCAGGAAAGAAAGGGATCAGATCTTCCTGAGAACTGGAAGGAAGCTTCTCCTTCACACTTGGGAGTCTTCTTGGGGGGCAGTGTGGTCCAGTCTTATGCCCGTGACCTTCCCTCTTGGTCCCTGCCCTGTTTTTCTTCCCTTTTGGCCACAGCTCCAGAGCATTGCAGAGAAAGACAACAACCTGGTTCCTATTGGCAAGCCAGCTTCAGAGGTGAGTGGGCCCCAGATGGACTCAGGCTCTGCTCTAATTCCAAAGGTCCTTCTTTTGAGTCCAGAGTCAGAAACTAGAAGGAGTGGGCATTGGGTCTACTTAGAACTAAGGTCCTGCAAACCATGCATCAGCCTGTGGTCTTAAGCAGGGCAGGCTTAGGGAGTGGGGGTCCTTTGTTGGTTCTAGAGAGGCTCCAAGTGGGCCAGCCCTTGAACTGGTCCAACAGACTCTCCCCTGCCTCACCAGCACTATGATGATGAGGAAGAGGAAGATGAAGATGATGATGAGGATAGTGAAGAGGACTCAGAGGATGATGAGGACATGCAGGACATGGACGAGATGAATGACTACAATGAGTCGCCTGATGATGGAGAGGTCAATGAGGTAGGCAGAGGTGTGGGGAAGGCCTCTGCTCCTGGGTCCCTGCCCTAATTGGTGGCCAAGGGGTATAGAAACCTTGGATCCAGTCAGGAGCAGGATCTGGTACTGGGGCTGGCTGGGTGGCTGAGGCCCCTCCCCACCTACACCCAGCCTCCTCTCCAGGTGGACATGGAAGGCAACGAACAGGATCAGGACCAGTGGATGATCTAAGTAGACAAGGCATGGTGGTCTCAGGGAGATTCCAGGCCAATGCAACCTACCTGTAACCCCTGCAGAACCAGCTGATCACCCCAGTGCCTGAAAGCTTACCCTCAGGCACCTCCTCAGCTGCTGCAAGGACCTGGTCTCCTTGGTCCCTCCCAGGCCATCAGCCTGCCCTTGAATCCCAGGAGCCTGAGCCCACCCCACCTTTCTGGCCAGTACCTCACCTTTTGGTTGCCAGGTGTAGTCTCTTTCTAACTCTCTTTAATAAAGACACAGGACTGATTTTTCCCCCCATGTCTATTCCCTATTTGTTGGTGGGGCCCAGAGGAATCTGCATCTTCTCTTGAGCTTTAGGGAGAGGGCATTCAGAGGACTTCAGGCAAACCTACCTGGCCACATGGGCCAGGGCTAAGGAAGGCCAGGAGGAAGACCTGGGCCCAGGCTGCATTGCCCTCTCCTCTGGTCCCACTTGCACCATTGCATCAGTCATTCCTACAGGGCCATTACCTCAGAGTTCACTGTTTCTTTTAATCCTGTCCACAATGGCATGGGCTCGGGAGGGCAGGCTTTCTGAGGCCCAGAGCTGGGGAGCCCCTGGAGCTCTTCCAGCCAGCTTCCTTGGTGTTAAGAGAGCAGATTAAGTCTTAGAGCAGGGCAGGGACTCCCCTGAAGTCACCCAGCAAATCAGTGACAAAGCTGGGATTGGAGCTCAGGCCTTTTGCCTGTTGGTTCATGGCTTTCTCTGGAAGGAGGGAAAGCAATGGGACCAAGCAGCCTGACAGACCTTGATGCCTCAGGTGAGTGGGGCAGAGGTAGGAGGAGAGCCTCCCCAACCCAGAGCTCAGCACTTGTCAGGCCACAAGCAGGGAGGGGAAGGAATATTCTGAGGTCCTTGCTTGGGTGGGGATAAGGTGGGGCAGCAGTAAGTACTCCTGGGCCTGGACCTCAGCCAGGCCCTGCGTAGGTGAGCTGGGCTATGCCGTCCTTGATGGCAGGGAAGTCCGGGAGGCCAGTATGGTGGAGGCGGCAGCGGTAGCGGCCACAGCTCTTGGCATATTGCAGGAAGCGGGGTGCACCAGGGAAGAGCACGTGGTCAGCCAACACAGTGGCACCAGCTGGCATCAGAGCATGAGCTTCCAGCAGCTGCAGATCCCGCAGGTAGCATCGGGGCCGGTGTGCCAGAAGCACCAAATCTGCCCGACTCAGCTGGTACTGGGTTCGTAGGCGTGGGATCACCTCCTCTGAGCTACCCACGATGAGCTCTACCTGTGGGGGTGGGAGGAGCTGGAGGTGAGGGTGGACAACTTGTCCCACATCAGACCCCACCAGGATCTAGTTTAGTTTATGCCAGGCCCTGGTCTAGATCCTGACCAGTGTTCTCACATTACTTCTGGCTTCAGAACCCAAGAAGTCAGGATCTGTATTGTGATTTCTATTCTACCAATGAAGAAGTTGAGATTCAGAGGATAAGTGCTTTGCTCAAGGTCTCATAGCTAATGAGAAACACACTAAGGTTTGTACCCAGATTTTCTGGGCTCCAGAGATTTTCTTCTTAACTGCTTCTTTGTCATTCAGCAGCAAATACATATAAATGACTTGGAAGAGGAGGACAGGAATTTTATATAATCTCCAGGACGACAGTTTCCTAAGTGGAGCTGCTTCCTTATCTTAGGAGGGACTCCCCCACAGGGGAGGCCTGGCCAGAGCAAGGCCAAGGGAAGAGACCAGGGTTGGGGAGGTGGGGGCTGACCGTGCGCTCGTCGAAGCCAGCCAGGCGAATGAGTTTTTCCGCCACCACTGCTGTACGTGGGTCCTGCTCTATAGTGAGAAGGCGACTCCCAGCAGGCAGGGCACGGGCAATCAGCAGTGTGGAGTATGCACAGTAGGTGCCCAGCTCCAGCACACAAGCAGGGGCCTTCTCTTCCACCAGCCGCATCAGGATCTGACCTATCAGGGGAGATGGCCATTTCAGCAGACATGGGAGATGGATGGAAAGCCACAGAAAGAAATCTCAAGTGCCCACCTGCCTCACTGCAGCTCCCAGCCAGCTAGGATCTTATCTCTCTTGAAGTATATATAGCCCCAGCTGTCCCACTGGCCTCCCTGCTTCTCCAGGCTTTCCTCCTTCAGTCTAGTCTTCATACCAGCCACTAGGAATCTTCCTGAGAAACAAATGTGACACTATCACTTCCTGGTTCCTTGATCCTAAGGCCTTTGGGATTGAATTTAGAATCCTCAGCCTGACATTCAGGATCTCCTTGGAACTGATCCTATCCTACCTTTCCAGTTTCAGCCCTCAATCCTTCCTAACTTTAGCCTGTACCACAGCCATCTCAAACAACTGTGCCCAGGAGCAACCATTTTGATGAATTCCTTCCTGCCGCATTTGTGTATGTGATGGCTTTGCCTTTCCCCAACCCTATCCCCATCTGTCTGACCAACTCGAAAGCAGTCCTACTAGACTCAGTTCAACTGTTGCTTCCTCCAGGAAGGTCAAGGCAGAAACAACCCCAGGCTTCTGAGAGACCTTTGCCAGAACGTCCAGTTTCATTTCCCCTTATTTTGTTCATTAGATATCTTTTTAACCTTGGAATTGGACCAAATTCTTAAATAAGACTCTGAAAGCACTTGTGCTGGGAGCTGGGACTCAGACAAATCCAGGCAGATAGCTACCCTGAATAGGATGTAGGAGCTTCTGTGATGGGGGAGAAAAATACGACAGAGTTGAGTTATTTGTGGAGATGGTTATTCCCCTGTGTATTGCATCCCCTTTGAGGTCAGTATCTGTGGCTGATTCATCCATGTGGCTTCTACTTCCTTCTTTCCCAGCACCCAGCACATGCTTGGTACAAAAGAGCTGGCAATAAATGTTTGTTGGATGAATGAGTAACCTTGCCCACCCCCCTCATTTGTGGAGGAGAATAAAGAGACCCATAGTGGGTCAAGAACCTGCCCAATTCACCCATTAAAGCAGTGGCATATCCCAGCTCTTTCTTCATTATCTTGGGGATGCTTCCTGCAGCAGAATGCTAGGGAACACTGACCTTTGACAGGCCCCATGTGGCTCAGGTACTCGCAGTGGCTACTCCAGTGGTCCAGGGTGGTAAGGATGTGACCAGGGTCCCCGGGCAGGGCATGGGTGAGCACATAGCTGAAGGCCCGCTCCTCAATCCGCAGCTCTGACAGACAGTCTCGAAGGCTCCGCAGTAAGACGCTGCGCACCAGAAGTCGGAAATGGTGCCGGTACCGCACCAGCAATGTAACCACCAGTGGCAGGAAGGCTAGCGCGATGGCTGGAGACATGGTCCCTACCTGGGTCCTGGGATGGAGGGAGGCAGTGAGGAAAACCCACACCTGACATTTGCCTGACATTTGTTCAGCCCTTACCAGTAGTAATTATTGTCCCTATATTTTACAAACTGTGGTTCAGAAAGGCTGTCTTTTCTCCAGAGTCACACAGCAGGACTAGGATTTGAATCTGAATCGGTCTGATCCCAAGCCCATGTACTTTGAAGGACTCCATGCTAAATTCAAAACCCAATCCCAGACCACCTCTTCTCACTTCCGGCTCCTGGTCCCATCTTCACCTTGCTCCCTCCACCCGTTTCTCCTCATCTCTGTTGTCTCCAGTCTTTAGGACTCCTTTTACCAGTTCCCCTCTGCAATATCCTTCTCCAGCCCTACCCACTGCCTGCCTAGTCTCCTCTGACCCATTACCGTGTAGCAAAAGAGCACAGCTTTACAGTCAGAAACCCCTTCATTGTCATTGCTCTGCCTCAGTAAAAGGCAATCTAAGCACTCCATAGGGTGTTGGGATGAGATGTCCTTCTCACCCCAGGACTTTCTCTCTGTGTTTCCCTGGGGGTGAGAAGAGTCATTGATTCTATTTTTTTTCCAGTCCTATATCCCCTCCCCTGCATTCTTCTGTTCTCTTCTTTCTCAGAAGTCCCTTCACATGTGCGTACACACAATACACACTTTCTCCTCACTCAGCCCTCTTCTCCACAGCCTGGTATGAGGGATAAGTTTCCCACCTTGTCTCATTCCCTGGATCATCTGACCCTTATAAGGCTCGTGGTGGTAGTGGGAACTAAAATTGAAAGTAGGAATGTGTGAGTGTGTGTCAGTAGGTGAGTGATGGCAAGTTTGAACTGGTGTGCTTGGGAACCCACTCAAGGGCCCTGCTTACCTGGGTTGGAGGCTCCTGCTTGGGGAAGATCGGTGCATAGGACAGGAGGGGGGAGTCCTTGGAGAGTGGGTGGGGGGGAACTATGAGGCAGGCTGGACCTGCTCTCAATTATTGATGCTGAGGCTGCTGCTGTCACCTGAAACCTGCAGTTCAAGTTACTAACCCCAGGGACAAGCTGGAGCTGCCTCCTACCTTTCAGAAACCCTCAGAACTTATAAGAACTCCAGGGTCTTGATTTGAGTGGTAATAGAGTTACTGGGCTTGGTTCCCTTTCCTCCAACCCTTTGGATCAGCACAAAGGGTATGATGTAAGCTAAGATGATAGGGAGGTTATAATTTACTCGTTAGTTTCAAATTCAAGTTTTCTCTAAGTGTCCAGGCATGGGTCACAGAGAAGAGTCAAATCCTGTCACTGTGCCCCAGGAACTCCATGTTTTGTGGTGGTTGTTGAACTCCACGTTTGCTAGAAAAAAAATATCCCTGGCTGGTGTAGCTCAGTGAATTGACCGCAGGCCTGTGAAGCAAAGGGTTGCTGGTTCAATTCCCAGTCAGGGCACATGCCTGGGTTGCAGGCCAGGTCTCCGGTGGGGGACAGGTGAGAGGCAACCACACACTGATATTTCTCTCCCACTCTTTTTCCTTCCCATCCCCTCTCTCTAAAAATAAATAAAATATTTTTTAAAAATAGGTGCAGGAACAGAGAATACAATATATGATCGCCAGAACTGATGCTCCGTGAATACAGGGACTCTAGGTTGTTTTGTGAACCGCTACATATTCATGTAGAACAGTGTGTGGTATTACTGCAGATTCTCAGTAAATATTTGATTCAAAAATGAATAAATCAACACTGGATAGGGATAAAACATAGGAGATGTCCAGAGAATGGAATCAGAGAAGGCAATCAGGAGGATACTGTTGGATCTTGAGGACAGCAGACAGACCTGGTTGGGAGACAGTGCCAGGATACATGTACAAAGTCCAGGAGGTCAATCAGGAAACTGCAAATGACTGATGAGGCATTTCCACAACCCCTCCCGCCCACTCCCACCCTCTCTGGGCCTGGAATGGGAAGGAGGGAAGCATCTGCAAGATCTGTTTTTTTTTTAATGATTTTATTTACTTTTAGAGAAAGGGAAAGGAAGGAAGAAAGGGAGAGAAACATTGATGTGAGAAATGTGGATTGGTTGACTCTTCCTGTCCAACTTGGGACCTGGCCCTCCACCCAGGCATGTGCCCTGGCGACCTTTTGGTTTGCAGGCTGGCACTCAATCCACTGACCTACACCAGCCAGGGCAGCATCAGCAAGATTTTGAATGACAGACTTGGACTGTGTTCAGGGTCCAAGAGAAGACATGGGATGGTTTTAAGAAAAGAGCACCGACTGCGACCTTTGTGTGTTAAGATTCTAAGGCTGCCATAAAACGGCAGGATTGAAGAGAAATGCCCAAGGGTAAGGAGATCAGTAAGGTGGCAGCTATTTCCACAACCAGGATTAAGCTCCACTCAGTTTTGCCTTGTGAAGACATATTTCCTTCTTCCACTAAGTGTCAGATCCCTAATCCAGGTTGAGAACTACGATGCTTGTCACGACCCCTCTACCTCCCGTCTAGGTGCTGGGCAATAGGGGCCTAGGTGTATGCATCCCGTCCGCCCCTTGTGCGGCATTTAGCAAAGCATATCATGATGGCATTAGGTACGAGTCCCCTCACTGACCCACAAAGGTAGACCTGCAGCCCCACGACCTCATAAAATTGACCACACAAGAGCCTCTTTGACCCCCCAGGAGAGAACTAGGGCTCTGAGAACTAGGGCTCTGAGATTGAGAGGAGGCTGAAGTCATGTGATACGCCCCTCCCGTCCCTCCCCTCACAAGTCTCTCGGGTTGTGATGGAAGGTGCGCCTCCCCATTGGTTGGGGATGGTCACGCTGTGGGGGCGGAACCGGAAGCGAGTTTTCGGCGGCCAAGCGGCACTGAGAAGGTTTAGTCGTGGGGGCGGGTGGTTGTTTGCTGATTGCAGCCACGGGTCATGTGACCGGAAGGGCTCCTGACGGACGCCGTCCCTCCTCCGCGCGGCCTGAGCGCCCGGCCCGACCCCGGCCATGGGGTGCTGCTATAGCAGCGAGAACGAGGACTCGGACCAGGTGCGGCCGTGGCGGGCGGGGCTCGGGAATAAGGGCTGAGATCCTGGGGCGTAGGGCCCAGGAAAAAAACCTGCAGAAGAAGGGGGTGTCAGACAGCGGGGCTCACCGAGTACGGAGGCCTGGAGGGGACAGATTACAGAGGAGACGCCGGGCTAGTCTCTACTTATGTTAAAGCCCCAGTTCTTTCTGCACAGTCCCCGGCTTGGCGTGTGCAGGCAGTCATGTATCTCATTTTCTCCCATCCCTTTCACCTCCCCTTACCTTTACACTTACAGCCTCAAGCATTCTTAGCCTGGGTCCCGGGGAAGCACTCGCTTCCCACTTCCCTGTGCTTGTATTAGCGAGCTTTGTGAATCCATTGTAGAGGTGGAAAAGCTGAGGTTCAGAGTTAGTTTGTCCCGAGATGAATCAGGAATCTGTGTATTCAGTCAGATCCTGGGATTGGAGAAGGAAGCTCACTGCTGGTTTGGGGTCAGAGGGCCTCTGGAAGTTGGTAGCATTTGAGTTAGTGAGGATTTAATAGACTGAATGAGGACAGTGGCGCGTGTGGGAAATTATTTGGGAAGTAACAAATTGGATTTAGCTTCGGCTGGATTGGGTGGTGGGTGTAGGATGGGGAGCTGAGTTTGGCCCGCTCCAGTTCAGTTCCTGCCTGGGACTTGAGGGTTCCTCTAGCTAGAAGGGTTCTTGCCCTGGGAATTTGGCTGTAGATCAAATCCCTTTACAAGAAGAATTAGACTTGGGAAAGCTGTACAATTTTAAGTTCTCCCTCTTCCTCTTGGTGCATTCTCACTTCTTGCCACACTTTGATTCTGGTCCTTCCCACATGACCTCCTTTGAGGAGGGGGAACCTTTCCAAGGATCAAGTCTTAAACTGTTGGCCACTTACCTTTTTTGACTGCCTCTGTGCCTGGGTTCCACATTTCAACACACGCTAGACACAGAGACAGTAGAAAGGTTTCGGCAAGTAGCCTACAGTCTGGTGGGGTAGTCACAGAAGTGGACTTTATCAATGGTACTTGGGAGTAGGTTTTTCCCCAGTGGCTCACATGAACACATGGGTTAAGGACTGAGGCTTGGGAAAATGTCATTTGTATGAGGGGCTTGAGGGGGCCGAACACAATGAATACATGTTTCCTCTGTCTTATGTTAGGCATGTCTCATAGCCAACACTTTTCACTTCACCTCATCCTGTTAAAGAGACAGTATCTCTCTGCCTACTGGGAAATCTATGGCCACAGGAAGTTGTCCCTTAAAGCATAATATGGACTCTTGCTGGCAACAGGTCAAGAAAGGTTAATGCCTGCTTTATGAGAAAGGATCCCAGTCTCTAGCTGGAAGAGCTGGGCTTGTTGCTCTCCTCAGTCTCCTCCTTGCCCCTGATGGGCTCTCACATCTGTGTCTAAACCCCAAAGACTGTGATTGGTCAGTGCTAAGTGACTTGAAGCCTCATGTGACAAAAGTCTACTTACCTGGTCTATAAGCCGGGACCCTTCACTATCAAAACATCCCTTTTTGAGCTCTTGGGCAGGCCACTCTCATCACTGCCCCTTTATTATAGTAATAAAAAGAAATGTACGACATATTAGAGTTTTCAAAGCCCTTTTACAGTTATCTCATTTGACTCCTGCCAAACATCTATCATAGGGTACTGGTTATGTCTGTTTGAAGGCACAAGAACCAGGGCTGGGTAGCTCAGTTGGTTAGATCCTTGTCCGGACATACCAAGGTTGTGGGTTCATATAGGAGTCAACCAATGAATGTATAAATAAGTGGAACAACAAATCGATTGTTCTTTCATCTATCTCCTTCCCTTCCTCTCTCTAAAATCAATAAATATTTTAAAGTAAATAAACAAAAGCAAGGAAAAAGTTCCGAGAGCCTAAGTGTCTTAGCAAAAGTTACAAAACTAAGAAGTGCCATAGCCAAGGTACTTGATGCCAAGCCATATGCTGTAGCCATTGGGTCAGTCTGTCTCTTTAAGCTGTGCCCATGGGCCAGATGACTAGTAATGGGCAGGCAACATATGTGTCCATGCTAGGGTAGACTGTGAAACTCTTCACTCCTGGGTTGACATTGACTCAGGGACAAATGTTGGTGTGAAAAACCTCTCCTGTGCTCCACTCGCCCTTTGTGAGTGAGGTGACGGTATTTGTCCACTCTGATGGGAGCAATATGGCCCCGGGAGGCCAGATCTCAGGAACATAGGCTTGTTCTTGAAGAATCCCTGATGGAGAGAGACTGTGCTGTTCTGCAGGGAGATCTGTCTGAAGTGGGGCTGGGGAAAGGTGCACACAGAGGAAGCAAGCTCAGACTTCATTATGGAACCAGCTTTCCTTAGAGATAGTTTAATTTTTGGCAGGATTTTTGTCTTTCTAGCTCTTTAATACTCCGCCTGTGCTTTAGGGAGATGGGGTGTCTAGGACTGGGGAGATGATGAACAGAAACCCACAGCTTCTGTCTCATGTTGCTAGGACCTGGGGACACTTGGGCCACCTAGGACTGAGTAGAAAGAGTCATGTGACAAGACTGGGCCTGCCTAGGGTGGGGCAGGCAGGGCAGGAGGAAGTGGCCCTCTGCAGAGAGAGTGGTTTGAGTTGTGGTCAGGGAAGCTGGGAGCCTGCAGTGGGAAAGTCAGGGGTACAAACTGAGATACTGAGCACTGAGAGGTCTAGTGGTCTGGCACTAAGTGTCGGTGAGTCAGCATTAGTCAGGATGGGCGCCTTGTCCTTGACTTTGTCCTGGGCACCCTCGATCTTTATGGCTTGGATAGGTACCTAGCAGGTCTGCTTATCCACTTTGCAGCTGACACAAAGCCACCAGGGATTTTCGGCTGATGGGCTCAAGGCAGGGTTGTATCCAGAAAGATTAGAACCGGGGACTAAACCAGGACAAGGAGAAATACACAGAGAATTATACAGGACCAGGGAGACTTTGGCTCTAGGTCAGTTCTGGCTGTTGTGACATTAGCGTAGGCCAGTAGGAACAGGGCTACTGATATTAATGATGCCACTGATAGAGATTGTAGTGGCAACCTTTGTAGTTTTCTTCCCTTTGGCAAGGGAAGAAACAGCTCTATTGTTTAGTTCAAGTCAGGATATACCAGGTGCACCAAGTCTGCTTCTGGCAGTCCCACTCAGAGAGAGCATCAGAGGACAGGAGGATGAACGCCTGCAAGAGGAGAAGGGACCTGCCCTCAGTAGGGAAGCGCACTTGAACTGTGTGACGTAGAGGCTGGGACTGGGACTCCTGCCTTGAAATAATATGAGGAATGGGCATTGACAGGTTGGGCTTGCTTTCTCTTTGGGTCTAGGGCCTTGTCTGGCCTCGCAGGGCCTCTCTGTTCGGGAAACAAACCACCTTGCTGGGGAGGGCCTGGTTTGGGGAATCACGAGGGCCTTTCTTGGGCTCCTGGCTCGCATCAGTTTCCCCTCTAGAATGTTGTGTTACTTTCCACCTCTTCTGGCGTCCTGCCTCCAATATTCTGTCTCCGTTAGTTGCTGGACTATTTTCTGAAGCTCCAAGGCTGTGTCTGAATACCTGCTTTGTGCCTCTGTCCATTTTTCAGGGCCTCTGCAACTGCTTGGTTCCACTTTAATTCACCTTGGACCACCAACTGAGCTGAGCTCCCAAGGGCAAGCAGGAACTAAGTCTTATCTGACATATAGTTGGGCCCTGGGGTATGCCTAATAAAAATATTTCTGGTGTTTAAAGGTCAGAGTTGGGCTGAGAGGAGAGCCCAGAGAAGGCAGATTGGACTAGCGGCCCTGGGGCTCACCTCTCCCTGTTGGTCCCTCCCAGGACCGAGAGGAGCGGAAGCTGCTGCTGGACCCTAGCAGTACCCCCACCAAAGTTGTCAATGGAGCAGAGTCCAGCAACTACAGCCTGCCTTCTGCTCGCACAGATGAGCAGGCCCTGCTCTCCTCTATTCTTGCCAAGACAGCCAGGTGAGCATCACAGACCCAGGCCTGGGGCAGAGCTCTGTCTGGAGAGGGGCAGAGGGAGCCAACCCAGGACATGGGGGAAGGGACAGAGTCAATGGGAGAGATGCTTCTGGGCCCAGCCCTGCTCTAGCGGTTGGGGGGGGGGGGCGACACACACACTGGTGTCACATAGCCCTGGAATTTGCACCTGGCAGTGAGTTCTGTTCGTCCCCTTTGGAGGAAGTACCTGTCATGTCCTCTTTACCTCTTCTCCCCAAAGCAACATCATCGACGTGTCTGCTGCAGACTCCCAGGGCATGGAGCAGCATGAGTACATGGACCGGGCAAGGCAGTATAGGTGAGCACCTAGCCGCCTTGGCGCCCTCAGGCTACTTGGGCTCCTCCTCTCCCCTCCATCCCTGATCCAGCTTTGGCACCTGGGCCCCAGTCCAGCCTCTTCATTTGGGTGCAGCCTGGACTGACCACAGATCTCTCAGGTGCCTCGGTAGCTATTCGTGTCAGCCCTATTTGTTCTGTGACACTCGGAGGGGTAGGGGGCCAAGGGAGGTGGGTCTGGGGTGAATTTGTGGGGAGCTGAGGCCCCATCACCCTGCTTCTCTGGTTTGAGGGGAGCTTACAATGGGCTGGGCAGGGCAGGGCAGGGCAGATTGTGGCCTCGCTGCCCACGCCACCCCTCCCTCTCGGCCAGCAACCGCTTGGCTGTGCTGAGCAGCAGCCTGACCCATTGGAAGAAACTGCCGCCACTGCCATCTCTCACCAGCCAGCCCCACCAAGTGCTGGCCAGCGAGCCCATCCCCTTCTCCGACTTGCAGCAGGTGAGCCACCCCTCGCCCCGCTCGTGCCCACACACGCTGCCCAGGCTGTGGCAGAGGTTTACCCTTTCTGTCTCATAGGAGGTGGGGAAGTGGAGTTAGCTTGGTAGCTTGTGAGTCCTGCTCACTCCCACCTTCCTCTTTACATTTTATCTCCTCCCTCTCTCCTCCTCTCAACCTTTGTTCTCCCTCCCGGACTTTGTTCTTTTCCTTCTGTCTTTCCCATCCGTCCCTGCCTTTCTCTTTGGCCTCCTGTCCCCCTGCATTCCCCCCTCTCTGGCCATCTGATCCTTCTTCCCTGGTTTCCGGATCTCACCTGTCTTTCTGTTCCTCCTCCCCGGTCTCTGTCTCAGGTCTCCAGGATAGCTGCTTATGCCTACAGTGCACTTTCTCAGATCCGTGTGGATGCAAGAGAGGAGCTGGTTGTACAGTTTGGGATCCCGTGAAGACAGGGATCCTTGGACGGCTCTTCTTCTCCTCTTCACCCCGTCTTGTCTCCGCCCTGCCTCCCCTGGCCCCCAGCCTCACTGCGGCTTACACAGTACCCTAACCTGCTACTAATCACAGAGAAGATTGTTGAGGAGGAGGAGAGTGAGGCTAGAAGCCTCAGCGAGTGAGGATGGAGCAAGGGAGGGTAGAACCATTTGGGACTGGCCTTCAAAAGCCCTGGTCAGGGGTGGGGTGGGGAACAAAAGGACAGGGCCTGGTAGGTCTTCGCTGTCACTGGGAGGGGGTGGAGGTGACCCTGTGAGGGTGATCACTGGCAGGCCTGTGGAGGCCCTTTTCCTTGGCCTCACTCCTGTGCCCGTCCCTGGATTGGTGCTCACAGGCACCTCACCAGGGTTTGTGACCAGCGTCTGGACAAGTTTGAATTTGAATGAGTTAAGTTTGTATTTCTAATACCCTGGGTTTTTACAGTTTGGGGGTTTGGGTTTTTTTGTTTCTGTTTTGTTTATTTTGGTTTGTTTCCCTTGATAAAGGACATGTATTCATCTGTGTGCTGATTTCAGCTTTTCTGTCCTGCCCACCACCCTACTGCTTACTTTTGGCTACTGAAGTCTGTGAGCAGTGAGATGGATGAGGGGGAGGGGGGCTTTTTCTAGGAACACTAAGAGACATCCAGGAGATAAGGGGTCAGGGTTCCCAGGTCTTAGCTGAGACTCGGCCTGGGCTAACCTCAGATCGGATAGGCTGCTTGTCCTTTCTCCAGTGATGGGAACATGGAGGCAGCTGTCATTGTCGAGGAGGGCCCTGCCTCAGTCTCAGTGAAATTGCTAAAAAGCGCGGAAAGGGATTGGTGGTGGTGGTGCAGACAGACCAGGAGTACCTGATAGGGGGTCAGCAAGCCAATGTTTTCGAGCAGAAGATTCTTTTTATCAACTGAAATGTCAAGCAGAATCCCAACATATGAAACATGAGAGAGCAACTGCTCAGGTCTGATTGAAATGGGGGGGGGGGTTCAGCAATCACTGCCTATCTTCCTGGCCTCCTAACACAGACGCCTCTGAGGCAGCTCTGTGAAGCGGTTCTTAATCCCAGGATATCTGAGCAGAGGAGTAAAAAAGGCCCAGAGTTGAGGTAAATTTCCCAGGACTATGCGGTGAGCCCAGGTCTTTTGTCTCTCAGGCCAACAGGCCGTTCCCTCCACTGCCCACCTTTCAGTGGAGCGAGACCAGAGCTGCTGGCAGTGGCCTGAGTTGGGCATTTTCATGTGGTTCAAGGGACTTCTGATCTGCTGAACAGCTCAAATTCTTTATTGTCAAACCAAACTGGCCATCCTCAACCTTCAGGATGGCTGCCGTCCTGCCATCCTCAGAGCACGGTATGCTTGATCCGGATCTTCTTGCGCTTGATATTCAGGCGTTTCCACACTTCAGCATTGGTGCGGTCTGCTTTGGTGACCCCGCTGAAGTCGAACGTGGTGATACGGGGCAGGGTGCACAGCACATACTGCCTGTGGGGAAGACTCGGGCTGGGGGCCAGCCCCCCCACCAGCACCCCACTCCCCTACCACCAGCTGCTGCTGTCTCCCCTGACTGCGGGAATGGAGGGACTTGAGTACAGTTTGGGGGGATGGGGGTGATGAGTTTATCCTGACAGCAGGAAATAATTAAAAGTCTGTACTCCCTTCCCTGACCCAAGCGTGGCAGAAGGTGGTATTGGGTTTTTTCCTCTCCCCGCCTTTCCCTTAGGTAAGCCCAGCTCCAGGGCGGGGCACCTACCTGTACCCCTTCTCTTCCTCCAGGGGGTTTCCGTGGAGTGTCAGGCTCCGGAGCCGAGGGAGGATGGCCAGCTTATTCACCTCTCCTAGGCGCTGGATGCTATTGCCATGGAGGTAGAGGACACTCAGGTTGAAGAAAGTTGTCAGGACCTATTGGGGAAGGGAACCGGAGCCAGGCTGGACAGGGCTCTGGAGCTATGCTCAGGCCTGACTGGAGGGCAGAGAAGAGTTTGGGGAACAACGGGCCCTCCACTCCCACCCGCCACCACCCCTCATCCCCAGCTACACTGGATGGCTCCAGCCTACTTGCATTTACCTTTGAAGGGGTACAGGGGCATGTCACTGGCACAGAGGTCTTTGGTCTGGGGGCAGGAAGGTAATGGGCTGAGGTCCTAGCACTGCCTCTGACTTGCCAGGTGACTGGGCTCTCCTGCCTTTCCCTGAGCCTTAGCTGCCCTTTCACTGAAGACCTTTGGTGACCCAAGGTTCTGTCACAACGAGGGACAGGGATACAGAGCATCATGCTAGGTGTATAAGAGAGGCTTTTAAAATAGAGGTGAGCCCGGCTGGTGTGGCTCAGTGGACTGAGCACGAGCCTGTGAACTGAAAGGTCGCTGGTTAGGTCCCTAGTTAAGGCACATGGCTGGGTTGTGGGCCAGGTCCCCATTTGGGAGCATGTGAGAGGCAACCGTTTAATACATCTATGATATAGCTCTTGCATGCCGATGTTTCTCTCTTCCTTCCCCTTTCTCTAAAAATAATAAAATTTTAAATAGAAGTGAAATTTAGATCACAACACCCGGGGAACAGTTTCCTAGTCTTGCTCCAGCTGCTCTTCCCCTAACAGATCCTGGTCAAAATGGAAGCAGTTTTCTTTCTTTCTTGTTTCTTCTTTTTTTTTTTTAAGATTTTATTTATTTTTAGAGAGACAGGAAGGGAGAGAACCATCGCTGCAAGGGAGAAACAATCAATTGCCTCTCTCACACACCCCAACCAGGGACTGCACGTGCAACCCAGGCCTGTGCCCTGACCAAGAATGAAACCAGTAACCTTTTGCTTCGCGGGATGATGCCCAACCCACTGAGGCACAGGGCAGGTTTATTTCTTTTTTTTCCAAACCTAATCAGTTTATTTCCTTTTAAAAAATATATAGTCTTGATTATATTTTTTTCCACTACCATTTAGTCCCCTTATACTTCTCTACCCCCTTATTTATTTCTTAAAACTTGTCTGAGTGCATGAAAAATAAGGGCTGTACTTCCACTACCTACCTCTTTTACAGAAGAACTTAGTACAAGATACAGTAGGTATTCTAGAATGAGCTACGGTTTTACTCCAGCCTTCTCTGTGGCAGTTGGTTTTCATACATTCTCATTTAATTCTCATAAAACCTTTATGACGTTGGTATATTATCCCCACTTTTCAGACAGAAGCTGAGGCTTTGGAGAGGTTAGGAAAGTTGTCCAAAATTGTAAGGGGCAAACCTAGGGTTTGAACCTACATCTGAGCTGGTAGCTATGTGCTTCACGCACAGGTCCGTGCTCCCTCACAGCTTCCTCAATGAAACGTGGGAGGCGGAGAGGCTGGGGGCTGGACAGCGTAGATTCTGACCCACCCTGACTAGATTCCCAGGGCTGGCAGCTCACAGGGTCAATGGAAGTCAGATCATTGAAAGACAGGTCAATCCAAGCCAGGTTCCCTGGGTACTCCAGCAGCTGCGAAATCACTTGGTTGAAGTCTTTCAGCTCGTTGAGGACATTGTTGTTAAGCCACAGGGCCTGGGTCAGTGACTTCCCCGACTTTGAGTGCCTTAGTGGTCGTAGCCCTGTCCTTGGCTCCTCGCTTATCAGATCTGTGGGAACAAAGTGATACCTGGGTGTATCACCTTTGCCTTTCTGGCTCCAGGAGATGGGAAGGGACAGAGCTGAGAGGATAAGCAGCCCCAGCCAGCTAGAGGGTCTGGTTGGGCCATAGCCCAATGCTTGAGTCTAGTGCAGCTCTACCCATTGTCAGCTCAAGACTCCCATCTCAGGCCCCAGAAGTCAGTAAGCTTGGACTAAGGGCCAAACACTTCCTATCCCATACTTGGTTTGGGTCACATGCTCCTCTTGTGTCTATTGTATCATCGGATCCTCTGTGTACCACCCCTGTATATGTGTGTTAGGGAGAAGGGAACAAAACCATTCCTATTTCATAGATGAGGAAACTAGAAACTTTGAGTTGTTGGGCTTAAGCCAAGATGATGATACCACAAAATCCAGAATTATCCACTGGTAGAGCCTGTGGAATTCACTTGAGTGTAATACACTGATGTGCTCTCTCCCATTGATGTTGAACAACTATGGGCCAGATGCTACATAACAGTGTGAACAAAATGAGAGACTGTGCCTGGCTCTATACGAGTATAATAGGGCAGGGACGAAATAGATGTGTGTCTTTGAGGAGCTCATTTGGGCAAGATGGAAACAAACTGGCAACGTAATGTGATAAATGCTTTTTAACTTGCAGAAGCTCAGAAGAGGGGCGCTTAGCCCTGGCTGGTGTGGCTCAGTGGACTGAGTGCTGGCCTGCGAACCAAGGGGTTGCCAGTTCAATTCGCAGTCAGGCACACACCTGGGTTGCATTCGGGTCCCCAGGTAGGGGTGCACGAAAGGCAATCACACATTGATGTTTCCCTTTCTCCCTTCCCCTCTCTCTAAAAATAAATAAAATCTTTTTTTAAAAAATAGAGAGAGAGGTGCCTAACCCAGTCTGGAGCTCACAGAAGTTTCCCAGGGAAGGTGAAGCCTAATTGGGTCTCAGTGATTAGAAGGGTGGGAAGGGTGAGAGGAGCGAGAGCAAAGGCCTGAAGGTATGGGACAGCATGGGCGTGTGTGTGTGTGTGTGTGTGTGGCACAAGGGGGCAGGGAGGAGAAGTCAAGGGACCTTGAATGCTGGGCCGAGCGTCTTGCTGTGTCAGAGGTGATGGGAAGCCACTGGAGATTCGGAGATTTTAGAGCAAAGGAGATATTCTAATCTTTTTTTTAATGAAGATTTTATTTATCTTTAGAGGGGAAGTGAAGGAGAGAAGGAGAGAAACATCAATGTATGGTTGCCTTTCGTGCATCCCCTGCTGGAAACTGGCCTGCAGGGAACCTGCCTGCAACCCCAGTATGTGCCCTGACTGGGAATCGAACCGCAATTGTCTGGTTCGCATGCTTGTGCTCAATCCACTGAGCTACACCAGCCAGGGCTCTAATCTTTTTTAAAAGATCACTCTGAAGCTTTAGTATGGGGTCTGCATTTTAGGGAGTGGGTGGGACTGGAAGACCAATTTGGCTCTTTCAATCATCCAAGCAAAAGATGAAGGACAGTCAGCATGTCTTGATGGTTGACTGGGTGTAAGGGTAGAATAATATTCCAGAATATTTCCCAGTTTCTTGTTTGGCCCACTGGGCAGATGCCATGTCTATGATCTGAAATGGAATTAAGAAAAGGAGAAACATGGCTGGGTAGGTGATGAGTTTGATTTGGCCTTGGCATGTCTGCGGTTCCTATAGTACAAAAATGTGGAGAAGCCAAGTAGGCAGTTGGGTATGAAGATCTGGGACAGTTGAGAATATTAGCGCAGAGAGTGAACGTGTTAGAGAAACAGATGAGAGTCCTCAGGGACAGTAAAAGGAGGTAGGAGGCACAGGGAGGAAGGGGTGTCCATTAAAGAAGTTACTGAATAATCAGGGAAGGGCAGGGAGAATCAGGAAAGGATAGTTTTAAAGATGCTCAGGGAATCCATAGTTTAGAGGAGTCAGTTTTAGAGAGATGAGGGCTGTTTTAGTGAAATGGGGTCTGGGGATAGAAGCTAGATTGAAGTGAGTTCAAGAGTGAATGGAAGGTAAGAAAATATAAGTAGGTAGTGTAAACAACACCCTCAGAAAGTTCAGGTGAGAACAGGGAATAGAATGATGTTAGAACCCATCTGTATGGACAACCTGCTCCCTCCCTGTTTTGTTGCTGCTGCTATTAACAAATGAGGTCCAGAGAGAGGATGGGCCTTGCCCAAGCTCACAGCAGCAGGGCTAGACTTGGACACCAGCTCAGGCTGAGATGACTATTTTTCCTACTGCCCCTGTGCCTTTGGTCACTTGTCTAAAGCTGCCTTTGGGGAGGAAATATTTAGTACTTGTTGTATCTGGCCAGTTTATCTTCACCCTCCCTTAGCTCCTAGTGGACACACTTCCTCTTTTACCTCCAGCCAGTGTTAACTTCCTCTCCTCCTCAGCTGCATGTCAGGCATTATCCACCAGATGGCTCTCTTAGAGTGAGCAGAACCCCAGTTGGAGCATGAGGTTGGGAGAAGGTGATATAATGTTACTGGAGCACCCCAGCTAATGAAGAAACTCCTAATCCTACCTCCCAACCTCTTACCTCCTGACTGCAAACTTTGACATGAAATGACAAAGATACATAAAAGCTAAGGTCAAAATAAGCCCACATATGGACTAGCATCCAGTGTGACGAGGCAGCGGCTTGGGGAATGCCACCAAGTTCAGAGAGAGCCACTGGTGGGATGGCATTGTCTAAAACTCAAGGTTGCTGTTACCAAGGTGAGAGCAAGGGGTCCAGGCTGCTACAGGTTGCTGCTCCCTTCGGACCCCTGCCAGGGCACTGAAGATCTGTCGAAGCTGCACTGTTCAGATTAGGCAAAGGCAGGTCTGGAAACTGGACCATGACTACCAACACTTAGAGAACTGGAGGTTGTCTAGCTCCAGGAAGACTTGGGGAAGACCTGATTCTGTCTCCATATCTCTGAAGGGCTCCGGTGCAACTTTTTCCGTGTGTCATTCCCCACCCCATAATGGAAGGGATGAGTAGGTGTGTGTAGTAAGGACCTACCTTAACACTAGGTTTGCGAGCAGAAGCTAGAGGACTATGGGTTGGAGGGAGTACCGACTGGATGCCTTCTAAAGTCATTGCCATTTCGGGTTCTATCATTTATCTATTAATTAGCAAGTAGTGTATCAAGTACCCCCAAACTCTGTCCTCCAACCCCAATGTTAAACAAGTGTTCCGTAAGCTCTGGGGAACCTGAGGGGACTGGCGTTTTGGGGCCTAGATGTGCCTTTCTCCCCTCCCAGCACTCAACAAGGAGCACTGTGCCTGGCATGCACACACACACAGATATATATGCTTAAAGAAAAATAGGTGCTTCAAAACAATATTGTTGACTGACAGGGCATCTGTACTGATTGTTTTGTGCTGTGGAGTCATTCTTGATTACAGTAGCTTGAGTCTCATTCTGAGGACTCCATAGAGGGTGAACTACAGCTCCCTGGTCAGAGTTGGGAATTCCCAGGGTAGGTAGGAGCCACACTTCCCTTCCTCCTTTGCCACTTAAGCTATATTGTCTGTAGCCACTAATGCAGCTAAAACCCTTGTGAAACATGACTTCCTTAATCAGAAGTGATACCACGCACAATAAAGATCATGGTAGGTGGGTGTGTGCTCACTGAAGAACACGTTTGAGTTACTATTGTGACTGCTGGTGACACACACAGTACACTAAACCCGAGTAATATCCAGTAACCTGGATAACTGTTCACCTGTTTCGTGAACTTAATAAAGGTGGCCAACAACTGCCTAAAAGAAACCAAAGCCAATTAATGGACTAGGAAGATATGTTGATGCCAGCCTGTGTTCTCTGAGTGCGGATATACTGAAGCATTTGTGAGACCAGATAACAAAAGCCAGGAACAGCAGACCTTGCTTAGGAATAAACATATTTCCTTAAGAATATGATACTGTCTTCCAGTCAAGATGGTGGTGTAGGCAGACATGGCTCACCTCTTCACACAAACATCAAAATTACAACTAAAATATAGAATAACCATTTCTTAGAACCATCATGAATCAAGCTGATGGAAGTCTGACTACAGAATTAAAGAAACCAGACGTAACGGGCGCAAACACAAAATGGGCTGGTCCCACACCCACGAGTGGTGCATAGAATTTGAGAGGGATATCTCCAGAGCAAGGAGTCCCAGCCCCACACCAAACCCTTCAGCCCAGGGTTCTAGTGCCACAAAGATAAGTCCTCACAACTTCTGGCTGCAAAAACTAGCAGGGATTGAGTCAGTGGAAGAAACTGCTGGTCCTCCTAAAGAATCTACACACAGACTCACTGCCTCCGAGCTCCAGTACCGGGTTAGCAGCTTGGAAGGCACCAGTGGCATACAGGGGGAAACTAAAGTGTCTGGCATCAAGGTGAGCAGAGGCCATTGTCCCTTTTCTAAAGCCCCTGGTGACATATCTCAGACTCCATCAACCTGGGTAATACTATTTGACCTGCCTGGGGGATCCCCAGAGACCCCACCCCACCTAAATTATGGTCCCACCCAAGCTGCTTTTCCACATGAATGGCTGGTCTTGGCTCATACTACACAACTCCCTAAATTCTCACAAAACAGCTGGCCTCAGTGAGCCCCAGGCCTGGCCCTAGCAGCAGCCAGATTAGACTGACAGCTTGGCTTTCCCTGGGAATCTCCAAGCCCTGCACAGGTAGCAGCCATCTCAGATTGCTTTATAGCTCAGGCAGGTTGGCTCCAGGCAAAATGCAGGTAGGAGCTGACCTTCACCTGTACCACCCTAAAAACCCCAGGGCCAGTGCACCAAGTGGATAGCTACAGACCATGTCCCTGCCTGTGCACACCTGATCCTCCGTGGAGGGTGGAGGGTGGTGGTAAGTGGTTACAGCCAATCCTTGCAGCTGACTGGCCTGGGTACGTCCCTCTCATTGATCTGCCAACAGCAACCAAGTCTCAACTACAAGAGGGAGGTGTACTCAGCCCACACAAAGGGCACACCTTGAGTACCTAGCTTGGTTGGTAAGGGAACCTGTGCTACTGGACCATACAGGACACCTACTATGTTAGGGCATACTGCCAAGATGCAGAGTCAAAGCAGCTCTACCTAAAACACAGAAACAAATACAGGGAGGCTGCCAAAATGAGACAAAGAAACATGGCCCAAATGAAAGAACAGATCAAAACTCCAGAAAAAAGAACCAAAGAAAATGTAGATAAGCAATCTGTTAGATGCAGAGTTCAAAACACTGGTTATAAGGATTATCAAGGAACTTAGTGAGGACCTCAGCAGCATAAAAAAGATCCAGTCTGAAACAAAGAATACACTAATTTAAATAAAGAACAACTTACAGGGAAACAACAGTAGAGTGGATGAAACCAAGAATCCAATCAATGATTTGGAACATAAGAAAACAACAACCAATCAGAACAAGAAGAAGAAAAAATCCAAAAAAATTAGGGTAGTATAATCAGCTTCTGGGACAACTTCAAGAGGTCCAACATTTGTATCACAGGGATGCCAGAAGGAGAAGAGAAAGAACAAGAAATTAGAACTCTATTTGAAAAAATATTGAAAGAAAATTTCCCTAGTTTGGTGAAGGAAATAGATGGGCAAGTCTAGAAAGCACAGAGTCCCAAACACAATGGATACAAAGAGTAGTCCTCACAAGACACATCATAATTAAAATGCCAGAGGTTAAAGATAATGAGAGAATCTTAAAAGCAGTAAGAGAAAAGAAGTTAGTTACTTACAGGGGGATTCCCATAAGATTGTCAGCTGATTTCTCAAAAGAAACTTTGCAGGCTAGAAGGAATTGGCAAAAAATGTTCAACAGTATGTAAGGCAGGGACCTACAGCCAAGATTACTCTACCCAGCTATGATTGAGAATCAAAGGGCAGACAAAGAGCTTCCCAGACAAGAAAAAAACAAAAGGAGTTCATCATCACCAAGCCATTATTATTTAAAATATTAAAGGGACTTATTTAAGAAAAAGGAGATTGAAACTATGAATTATAAAATGGCAATAAATACATATCAACAATTGAATCTAAAAAACAAAGTAAAAAAGAACAGAGATGGAAACGTGCATACAGAGAGTGTTTTGATGGTTGCCAGATGGGTGGGGAGTGTGGGGGAATGGGTAAAGAGGTGAGGGGATTAAAACACACAAATAGGTAGTTGCAGAATAGCCATGGGGGTGTAAAGTACAGTATAGGAAATGGAGTAGCCAAAGAATGTACACACGACCCATGGACATGAACAAATGTGTAGGGATTGCCTGAGGGATGAGGGGTGCTGGCTGGAGGGGATAAAGAGGGAAAATCAGGACAACTGTAGTAGCATAATCAGTGAAATACAATTTAAAAAGTAATACTAGATTGCACCCTGGCTGGTATGGCTCAGTAAATTGAGTGCCAGCCTGCAAACTGAAAGGTCTCCGGTTTGATTCTCAGTTAGGTCACATGCCTGGGTTGTAGGTTAGGTCATGCAAGACAACTGATTGATGTTTCTTTTCTTTCTCCATCCCTTCTACTCTTTCTGGAAATAAATAAAATAAAATCTTTAAAAACAATGATATTGCTGAGAGTCCTGGTGTGCCCTCTCCTGTGAGGTGGTAGTCTCCCATTTACAATGACACTGGATGATAAAATGGGAATTAGCATGGGTGACGATGGGATCATCTTGGATATGACTGGAATGAATATAAAATGTCAACAAATATTTAAACTGGAAAGATGCCAGTTTTGTTAATAACAGGACCCTCCGTGTTTTACCATCCATCAGAACAGGCCTGCGTCCCCGGACTGAGGAGACAGGACTCTGCGTGTAGACTAAGCTGCTGCAGGCTGTTTTCCTTCCGTTAGTTTTTTCCTGTCTCCACGTAAAAACAATAAAACGATTGGCTGACAGACTGACTTCCCAGCTTTCTTTCTTTCACCTGACTTTTTTTGCTGTAGCTTGTCTTTTGAAGATGATCAATTACCCTGAAAGTCCCCTGGTTCCTTTCAGGTTTTCTGATAATATTTTTTAAATTCTCACCCGAGGATATGTTTATTGATTTTTAGAGAGGGAGGACGCAGGGCCGGAGAGAAACAGTCAATGTGAGAGAGAACCATCGATCAGTTGTCTCCCACAAACGTCCCGACCAGAGATCAAACCTGCAACCTAGGTATGTGCTTTGACCAAGAATTGAACTCACAGGCTTTTGGTGTGTGGGACGACACCACAACCAGCTGAGTGACCCAGCCAGGGTTCTGCAAGCTTTTTAAAAGGCCATACACCACCATTCCCACCTTCCTTTCCTCTAATCTTCCCAGGAAATACAACAAAAAAAATCTGCCAGCATATGGTAAGAATCTCTTCAGGCTTTTAAGTAGGAGACTGATTTCTCCCTGGGGACCACACCCAGCCTGCCACCATGGTGAGTGGAGTGCTGTTTTCTGTGGGCTGACCTTGAAGCACATGGATGCTTCGGAAGGAGTAGTCAAGAGGAGGCTCTTGCACTGAAGTGTTCATGTAGTCCTGTCTGCTCATAGCTCAGGCCATCATTTGTCAGGTGTAAGCATGGGCCCTGGGAGTCCGGGTTCAGCCTGGAAGGACAGAGAAGGACTGGTGTTCCAGGTACAAAAAGCATAGGCCCTCAGGTTTTCCCACTGCCCCCACCCTTGCTCCCTACCCTCCACTACTCCCAACTTGCCTGGCTAATTGCCTTGCCATTTCTATTTTAAGATACTAATTGTGATCTTTGCATTTGTAGGGCACTTCCTACTTCTCTGAGTACCTTCACATCCCTTAGAGCTCATTGATAGTTATAACGCCCATTTCTACTTCCCAGATAAGAAACTGACACCCCAGGGTGAACATACTTGCCCAGAGTTAAGCCAGTGTGTGTGTCAGTTGTGGACTGCAATCATAGTCTCCTGAATTTTATTCTGAGGCCCTTTCTGCTACTCCACAGTCACATGGAGACTGTCTTGGTATCTACCCTCTGGTGACATCAACTGGGCTATTCTATTGCTGAACAGACCCCTGAGAGCATGCACTGGATCTTGTCTGACAGCCTTTTGCGACCTGACCCTGCTGAGGATTTGCTATTTTCTCTGTTCAGCTTGTCTGTTAGTCCCACTACCTTTTCATCCAAAGACCCTACTTTCAGCCACATCCTGGATGCAGTCATATGTATGTAAACAGACACATCTACCTCCCTCTCACTCACCTGTTATTGATGCCCAAAACTCCACCATCAGGGATTCATTCCTTTGGTTCAGGAATTGTTCCCTGTTAAAATGGAAATACCCCTCGAGAGGGGTGAACCCAATATTATCAGCGGTTTACAGTGTTTACAATGTTGTATGAATTGTCTTACTGGATCCTTTCCAATTTGTTGGCTTAAGTAAAGCTGAGAACAGTTTCAAGAGGTTGGGCAGAGCCAGGGGACCACTGCTCACCTGGGCAGAAGAGCTGAAAACAGACTTTTATGGAGGGTTTTATACATGACACAAACAAGACAAATGGATTGACAAGGACAAGGATATGTCAACTTCCCCTCTCTCACTTTGTCCACCTCCATCACCTCCTTTGCATTTACTATTTCACCTGCTTCCCAAAGGGATTTGAGGTAGTTTACAGTAACACACTCTAACAGGTTGATTTGTAGGAAATAACTGTCCATCAGAAATATAACTAATGTCACAAATGTAAGCCACATATATAATTTTTTTGCATATGTAATTTTACATTTTCTAGTTGCCATAAAAAGAAAGGTGAAAAGCAACAGGGAAAGTTAAATTTAATCACATTTTATTTAACCCAATATATGTAAAATATCACCCAAGATATTATCAGTGTTAAAAATTGAAGTATTTTATACTTGTAGTACATCCCAGTTTGGACAAACTATCTGTCCAGTGTTCAGTAGCCACATGTGACTAAAGGCTACCATACTGAACAGTGCAGATAGAGGAAATGTAAACACGGAAGAGAAAAATTAGAAGCCAAATTAAAGGAAGAAAGAGATGTACTGAAGAATTAGGAAACTAGGCCTATATGTGGTTCTGAAATTCCCGGCAGCCAAAGCCAAAAGGAAAACATTGGGATGTGTGGCTCTCATCATTTGATTCAAAGAAACAAAGAGTTCGTATGCAGAAAAACTCACAAATGTTCTTAAAATGGAATTTCTCTTAGAAACTATGGAGTTGATAGTTTGCAATTCAGTTTAAGCTTAATAGCAGTTCCAGTAAATGTGTGTGTGTGTGTGATTTAACATATGCAAGGACAGAGTTTTTAACAAGTGAACAGCAGTGAATCTCACCCCTTTTCATCTCATGGCACACAAAAACTAATCACTAAAATTCTGTGCCACACCAAAAAAATATTTTTTCCCAATCCAACAAAAATATAGGTGTAAGTTTGATTCATTTACACCAGATGGCTACTGTTGTGTTGGCTGTTGTCGTTTTTTGTGTGTGTCACTGATAAGAACTTTTCTTGTTAATGACATTAAACACAATGGCTACAAGGGGGAAAGAAAAAACATGATAAAGAGGAGACACAAACCTTGTTTCATAATTGATCCTGACAACAACTCAAGTAGAGCAGGGCTTGCATTAGATGCAAAATGACAGGTTATTTTGGGCTCTTTACTTATAAGTAAACCATATAAACAGCCCATTTTTATTCTGCTTTATCAGCATCCCTGTGGTAAGAATGTCATCATGGATGAAGAAAGCTGGGAAGGCAGTTAAATGCACATAACATAAAATACATCAAGAATTCCACATGAAATACCAGACTTAGAGGCCAATACCAAATACGAGAGATGCCTTTTAAAAAACAGATTAAAACTCCAGATTTTACCCACTGCAATCTTTAATTTAAGGTGAACATAATAAAATAAGGTGAACGTAATTTAAGATGAACATAAAACCTGATAATAAGGTTTTATTTGGGGGGGGGAGCTTTTTTTCTCCTCAAAGAATATCATGTTAACCCAGTTCTCTCCTCCGCCAGTCCAACAGATTTAATTAAGCTGTTAAAGCTTGGAAAGAACAGAATTATTTGAGCAAAAAGGAAATGTGATTGCCACATATTATAGTTAACCTGTCACTCATTTGATTTGGCCAAGGCAATGCTCCCATTACACATTCAGACTTAAACCCTTTTGTGCCAAGAAAGCAGGAACACAAGTCTTAATTTTTTGCCTAAGCAAAACACTGCCCCTTCACTCCTTGGGTTATCCATGGGGAACTAGACATCTGCAATGCTAGTTATTCCAGCTACAACTAATTTTAGCTATGCTGTGGTTCCGAAGGTGAGACAGGATAGTTAAGTAGTTAGGAAAATTTTTTGGCAAGTGGAACAGGGAAACTGAGACAGACAGCTGAACACAGTGGCTGAGCAATTTACAGCCAGGTGCACACTGTCACCAGGGCAGAAGGTCCCAAGTGTCTGGCAGGGGGCAACACTGGGAAAGCAAGGATCTCACCTGGCCTTTCCTCCCTGGAGATAACATCAAGGCCTCAGTTGTGTTTCAGCACCAGGCCCAGAAAAGCAGCAGAACCAGGTGGGTGATGCCAGAACCAACTGCAATGAGGAAAGACCTCCTGCCCTGTCACTGACCAATCAGTGGAGACCATGACTCTGAAAGGGCACACCTGATAACTAATGAATATTCTACCGAAACCATCCCCTGAGACTTTCCCTAAGGTTCCCACCTGCAAGAGAGAGATAAAGCCTCACGACAAAGAACCCCGCTCAGCTTAAAGGCATGCTGTCCCTCTGTGGAGCAGCCCACACAATTCTCTTCTTCCTCCTCCACTTCTTTCTTCACAGGCACATGTCTCCTAAACTCTAAAGCAATGGGCAGCTGGGAGCTTATCCCAAGTTAATTCCTTGAACCTGTCCCCAAAGTCCCCTTTTCTCTGACTTCCCAGGGAGCTAAGACAGCCCAGCCGAGGTTCTACTGTTGCTTCCTCAACGCTAAGCTCTTCCTTGTTTTACTGTCCCCAGCTTTAATAAACGTACCCTCATAGTCACCTGGACTTGTGTTGTGAAATATTTCCTACATGAAGTCAAGAACTCACGCACTATGGCTGGCCCTTGGCAGACCCACTCAGGGCCAGGCCCCTGTCCAGTGACAGTAGACATTTGCTTGTCTCACTCTGTCAAGCTAATTTAGGGAAACCTGGAGAACTGACTAGTGTACTAAGTGGCAATGGAAAAAGTAGATTGAATCCTTTGAACAAAACTTTTTTTTTTTTTGCATATTAGTCTCAGAATTAAACCAAATGTCCAAGGAACAGAGACTCCTTAACTCGATAAAAATAGTACATACTTTGGGGCATTCATCTAAATGCATTGGTGACTTGAATGGCCAGGTTTTTCCTGTCAGTTTCTAATGCAGGGAAAGGATGTTTAAAACAGGTTATTCACAGACAAAGATGGGGCTGATGAAACAACAAAACCAGACAGAGGCAGCTAGCCCAGTATCACAGGTTGTGCTTCAGCAACTATGTACAACCTTTTCAGGAGGTGAATGACAACAGCATGAATGCTGGACTGCAAAATCTCCCAAAGGATGTCTACAGGGGTCTGTAAAGAAAGGATAGCAAACTCCTCAGACATCCATTAAGATGGTTCCACAAAGTCTGTCAACTTAGGTTAGAACACCACACCCTAAGAACAGGTAATGCTTTTGTGCACAGGCTTAACCACAACTATACTGGACCCACTTTAGCAGAATTGTGAAACTTACTGGGGAAAGACTGTGGGCTGTTTCTATGGAGATAGGCATCCTTTCCTCCTTCTAATCCTGTCCCCTCGGCCACTAGCTTTTCAGTATGGGTCTCCTCTGGAAATCACTTTTTAAAAAATATTTTATTTCTTTTTTTATTTTTAGAGAGAGGGGAAGGGAAGGAGAAAGAGAGGGAGAGAAACATCAATGTGTGGTTGCCTCTCACATAGGGACTGAGCCCGCAACCCAGGCATGTGCCCTGACTGGGAATCAAACTGTGACCCTTTGATTCACAGCCCACACTCAATCCACTGAGCTACACCAGCCAGGGCCGGAAATCACTTTTAAGATCTCTAATTCAACCCTTTACAGAAATATGCAACATCTCACCAAACATCATGTGAATTTCAGAAGTTTGACATAAGGAGTAGATGATAACATCCAGGGTCTAAAGCACCTTTTATTGAGTGATAATGGAGACAAAAGAGTGCCTCTCCAAAGTTTCTCCCCGAGGATGGAGGCCCACTAACACATGACCTCATACTTAAAGTTGAAGACTTCCGGCCAAGATGGAAGTATAGGTAGAAACACTGTGCCTCCTTGCACAACCAAAATGAAGGGCAACAAAGATTTAGAAACAAAAACACAACCAGAACAGACAGAAAACTGAACTGTATAGAAGTCCGACAACCATTCCACCAGACTAGTAAGAGGGGTGGCAGGCAGACTGGTAAGAGGGGTGGCGGGCAGAGGGAGGGATCGAAGCAGGAAAGGCAGTGGTTGGAGGGTCCAGGAGTGCAGGTGGTGCAGGACTGACCATGGTCACACATTTGCACGCAGGTAAACTAGGCAAAAACAGGCAGCGAGACAGACCACACAACCCAGGGCTCCAGCACCAGGAAATAAAGCCTTAAAGCACCAATTGAAAAGGTGTAGGGAGAGACTCCTAGCCTCAAAGGAGAGTTTGTTGGAGAGACTGACAGGGTGCTAGAATGCACACAAGCCTACCCATCTGGGAACCAGCACCAGAAGGGCCCAATTTGCTTGTGGGAAGTGGCAGAGGGGACTGAAATCTGAGAGAGAGCAGAGCAAGCACCATTGTTCCCTCTCTGACCCTGCCCCCACGTTTAGCGTCACAACCCAGCCACTGGGTTGCCCCACCCTGGTGAACACCTAAGGTTCTGCCCCTCATACGTAACAGGCACAAAAAAATTATGGCTCAAGTAGAAGACAAAAACGAAGCCCCAGAGCCAATACTTTTAAGAGACCAAGAGATAGCCAACTTATCAGATGCACAGTTCAAAACACTGGTGATCAGAATGCTCACAGAACTGGTTGAATTTGGTCACGAATTAGATTAAAAAATGAAGGCTACACTAAGTGAAACGAAGGAAAATGCAGAGGAAACCAATAGTGATGGAAACAAAACTGGAACTCAAATCAATGGAGTAGACCAGAAGGAAGAAAGAAACAACCAAACAGAAAAGAATGAAGAAACAAGAACTCAAAAAAATGAGGAGAGGCTTAGGAACCTCTAGGACATCTT